TCTGGCGAGCACACGCGCCCTATAGCAAAAACCTCTCCAAAAAAAAAAAAAAGTTAAGATGGTCAAAGGACTAGAAAGAAGGTCTAGGATTTAAACCTAGGTCTTTCTAACTGTGGATATGAAATCTTCCTGAAATGGCTCTGCCTTCGAAGCCTCAGCTACCCTATCGCCTACACAGGGAGTAACAGTTCTTCTGATACAGCAGGGCTTTACTTTGTTTTTGTTCTTGCTGCTCTCTGCCCTCACCCCAAACTCACGAAGAATAAGCACCTTTTCTTCAGAGATAATGCTGAATACTGGTCAAACGTAAAAACAATCAAACTCAAGTTCTGATGCTGGAGCACCATTTAAGGATGAAAAAACACCCCTCAAGTTACCGGCAGACTGCTGAAGGCCTCTGGGAGAATGGAGGACAGGGCGTCACAGGCACTCGCCTGCAGAGTCGGGTGCTCTGAATTCTGGAGGGCTCTGGGCAGAGGGCCATTCAGCATCATAGTCCAGAACATCACCACCTGGAACAGAAGCATGGGTAAAACTCTAGCCCAAGACACACAGTGGAGCCACCTCAAAGCTAAGCTGCCAGAGTTGGCCTTGGTAAGGAAACATATTTGTTGGTAGCTTTATTTTTCATTTATTTTTTAAATAACTATTTTACTTAATTAAAAAAAAAAAATTGATCAGTGAGAGACACACACACACACACACAGAGAAAGTGAGAAAGCCACCAAGTCCAGGACTCAAACTGTGGCCGGCCATGTCGGGGTCCAGCACCCTAACAACCATGTCACCTGCTGGCCCTGAAGTTGTAGGCGTGCGCTCGCTGGAAAGACAGAGAGACAGAAAGCGAGAAATCACCCCCCAGGGGGGATGGCCACGCTGTAATCCCTTCTCCTCCATTCTCCTCTCAGGATCTTGGGCACGCACACACACGTGCCCAGCATGAGTTTAAGCCACCGGGTCCGGAACTAGAACCGCAGTCGACTACATGGGAGTCCAGTGACATAGCCATTACACCATCTGCTGGTCTCCTTATAGTATTTTATTAGAGCAGCCCAAACAACAAAGAAGAATATCATATGTGGTGGGCTCTGAGCCTAAGTATTTGTACATCCTTTATGTTAGGTCTCCATGATTCCCATCTTATCAATATAAGATTGTTTTTCAAAAGTTAAGATAGTCAGGGAACCAGCAGTTAGTGTAATGGCTATGTCGCTGGACTCCCATGTAGTCGACCGTGGTTCGTGTCCCGGACCTGGTGGCTTAAAACTCACGCCGGGCGTGTGTGCGTGCATGCCCAAGATCCCGAGAGGAGAATGGAGGAGAAGGGATTGCGGCGTGACCATCCTCCCTGGGGGGTGATTTCTCGTTTTCTGTCTCTATGTCTCTCTCTGTCTGTCTGGCGAGCACACGCGCCCTATAGCAAAAACCTCTCCAAAAAAAAAAAAAAGTTAAGATGGTCAAAGGACTAGAAAGAAGGTCTAGGATTTAAACCTAGGTCTTTCTAACTGTGGATATGAAATCTTCCTGAAATGGCTCTGCCTTCGAAGCCTCAGCTACCCTATCGCCTACACAGGGAGTAACAGTTCTTCTGATACAGCAGGGCTTTACTTTGTTTTTGTTCTTGCTGCTCTCTGCCCTCACCCCAAACTCACGAAGAATAAGCACCTTTTCTTCAGAGATAATGCTGAATACTGGTCAAACGTAAAAACAATCAAACTCAAGTTCTGATGCTGGAGCACCATTTAAGGATGAAAAAACACCCCTCAAGTTACCGGCAGACTGCTGAAGGCCTCTGGGAGAATGGAGGACAGGGCGTCACAGGCACTCGCCTGCAGAGTCGGGTGCTCTGAATTCTGGAGGGCTCTGGGCAGAGGGCCATTCAGCATCATAGTCCAGAACATCACCACCTGGAACAGAAGCATGGGTAAAACTCTAGCCCAAGACACACAGTGGAGCCACCTCAAAGCTAAGCTGCCAGAGTTGGCCTTGGTAAGGAAACATATTTGTTGGTAGCTTTATTTTTCATTTATTTTTTAAATAACTATTTTACTTAATTAAAAAAAAAAAATTGATCAGTGAGAGACACACACACACACACACAGAGAAAGTGAGAAAGCCACCAAGTCCAGGACTCAAACTGTGGCCGGCCATGTCGGGGTCCAGCACCCTAACAACCATGTCACCTGCTGGCCCTGAAGTTGTAGTTTTTTGTAAATGCTTTTACTGGCTCTTCTTCCACAGTGATGAGAACTTTAGAAATCAACTAGTTGAATCCTTCTATTTTATTATTAGGAGACTATCATCTGATAAAGTTAAGTAGCAATAGTGACAATATCGAGGAAGAGGAAGATGAAGACGATGATGATGGTAATAGCGGCAGCAGTAGCAGCTAATATTTTCCAGAAATCTTACCAAGTGCCAGGCATTGTTCTAAGTGCATTGCACATACCAACTCTTTTCTTTCTTTTTGTTTTTTTTTTTTTTTTGAGAGGTTTTTGCTATAGGGCGTGTGCGCTCGCCAGACAGACAGAGACAGAGAGATAGAAAGCGAGAAACCACCCTCCGGGGAGTGGTCACGTTGCAATCCTTTCTCCTCCATTCTCCTCTCAGGATCTTGGGCACGCACACACACGCGTACGGCGTGAGTTTAAGCCGCCGGTCTGGGACTCAAATCGCAGTAAACCACATGGGAGTCCAGCAACATAGCCATTACGCCAACTGCTAGTCACATACCCAACTCATTTTAATCCTCAGCTCAACTAAATGAAGTCTAGCCTATAACAATATCCCTGTTATCACACCAAGAAACTTGAAGCACAAAAGGCTAATGTAAGTTGCTAATTGGCAGCAGGGGTCAACTAGAATCCAGAGGAAGACACCCGGCGAGAGCACTTTCAAACTGATCCCAGGCACCACATCCCAGCAGAGCCCAGAAGCCATGCGCTCGAGCCCCAGTGGCACAGGATCCAGAGCTAAGCTTCGGTTCCTCTTCAATAAAACAGGACAAAGACATCTACTTTGCAGAGTCTGTGTGACAAATAAAATACTCACTGTATGTAAAATTCCTAGCACAGGACCCAGAAAACAGTGGAGACTCTTAAGTTGGGTAGGAGGCTCTGTTTTAGGCACTTTGAAGAATTGTCTCACTTCTAAGCCCCTAAAGTAGGCACCTCAACAGTTTCCTTAGCACACTTCATAAAAACCTTGGGATTTCAGGGCCAGCAGGTGGCCAGGTGGTTAAGGCGCTGGACTCCCTTCCTCATGGTTGATGCATGTGCATGTGTGTCTAAAATCCTGAGAGGAGAATGAAAAAGAGGGATTGTGGCATGGTCATCCCCCCTGGGGGTTGATTTCTCACTTTTCTTCTCTCTGTCTCTGTCTCTCTCTCTCTGACAAGCACACAAGCCTTACGGCAAAAACCGAAAGAAAAACAAAACAAAACCCTGGGATTTCACATTCATTTGCAAAATCTGTCTAGTTTTTATATCTCTGGTTTCTGCCTCACTAGTCGTACTTTCGGTGTGCATTTCACGTATCAGTTCTGTCCTGCTCCCACCTCAGCTCCTAGAAATGCAGGGCCCTCCTGGGCCCCCTCCCACAGCCCTATCTAGAGGAGTATGGATAGAGAAGGTGGTGCCAGCCTCCTGGATGGTGCACCACCATTCTTACCCACTACTCTGCACATCCCTATGCAGATCCCTCCCACACCGAACAGGGCAGACAAAGAACCAAGAGGAGGCTGCAGAAACATCAGTAGGAAACTTCTTAAGCTAGCTCACAAAATACACTGCAGCTTCTTGTTGTTCTCTTTCTCTCAGATCATTTGCTGTGAGGATCCTCGCACAGCCCTCAGGAGAGGTTCTCATGGGGAGGACTTAAGTGAGGCCTTCTTCAACAGCCAACACTAATTAGCTAAGACATGAGTGAGCCACCTTGGAAGACCCTCCAACCGATGTCAAGTCACCAGCTGACTGCAGCCCTGAGTGGCATCTTGGCTGTAGCCTCAAGACAGACCTGAGCCAGGAGCACTGGCTAAGTGACTCCTAATCCTTGACCCACAGAAACAGTGTGAAAGAATAAACGTAGATTGCTGTAAGCTGCTAATTTATTACTCAGCAACAGACAAGTAAAACAGGCAGTATATGCCTTTAAGAGGCTTGCTGAGAGTCATTGTCTAACAAGGGGAGAAGTCTGGATTCAGACCTCATTCTGTCTGACGGCAAAGCTCAACTCATCTTCCTTAAATGGCAGCTTTAGCAGAAGCCAAAAAAAAGAAGCAAGATAAGACATTTTTCATTCACTTCAGGACCAGCAGATGGTGTAATGGTTACGTCACTGGACTCCCACGTAGTCAACTGCAGTTCGAGTCCCAGATCCAGTGACTTAAAACTCATGCCAGGTACATGTGCATGCATACCCAAGATCCCAAGAGGAGAATGGAAGGAGAGGGGATTGCAGCATGGTCACCCCTCAGGGGGTGATTTCTCTTTCTGTCTCTCTGCCTCTCTGGCAAGCACACACATCTTATAGCAAAAATCTCTCGGAAAAAAAAAAAAATTAATTCACTGCAAGGACAATGGAAATTGTAAAAGGAAAAAAAAAAAGATGAAGAGAACAGAGGGAAAAGATATCACCAACACAGAATTTATTTAGTTTATGGTACTAAGTAAAAGCCTTTTCTGGTGGGGTCATGTTCAAACTAGCACAGTACAGGGGCAACAGTAACAACCTGAGAGCACAAGCATCAAATGGGAATCGTGAAGGTTAAGGAGATTAAATTCACTGAGCACCTACTGTGTGCTAGCATCTTTACATTTTATTCCAGTTTTCAACAACCTTGGAATTTAAAAATTATCATTCCTCTTCACAATGAGAAAAATATGCTCATAACCAAACATCCATTAAACAGTGCTCTCAAGATTTGATCCCATGCCTTCTGATTCAAAAGCCTTGGCTCATCCAACCATTCTAGTCTGCCTTTTGGGCAAGCTAACTAACCAAACTAGGTATTATGCTAACAAAATACCACTGATTATATGTTACACATAATCCTAATACATAGTGAATTGCAAATAAACTGAAATGCAAATAAAACCTATTCATGCTAGTTTCATATCTTCCCATTAATAGATCATAAGCCATAATTTTTGATACTGGAAAAAATCATATTATCTACTCTATTCTGTCACTGAACCTCAAAATAAGAAAAGAAAAACCATGAACTGAATCTTACTTACCAAGAAGACGGGTACCCTCTGGTCAGGTGCAATGGTAGAGTCTGGCTTATACTGCTGTGTTAAGCCCGTACCCAGCTCTTCCAAAAGCTGCCAAGGTAAAGGTGGTCACCATCAAAGCAGAGTATTAGAACTACGGAAGGTATAAATCATTTCACTTCAGTTTGAAGATCACCTCAAATGAAAGGGATAATAATTTCCAGCTTTCTTATCTCAGTAACTCCTATAACAGAGGCAGCCTTTGAAGGAGTAAAATCAATAGCTATATAGTATTAATTTATTACCAAATCAATTCTTTGGGTTTATATGCTGGGGCTGAAAATAGAGGAATATATGTCCTCCTTATCAGAAACCTCTTAAAATCTCAGAACTGATGGAGGTGAGGCAGAGGAAAGAATATAAAGTGAAGAGAAGAAAAACATATGTGGCTTTTAATGAAATTACCTTTGCTCCATGAAGCTGAATGGATGGATCTGCTTCCCCCATGCACTTGCAAATCACCTCTCCAAGCTCCATCAAGTAAACCTGAGCCATGGAAAAGTAGCCCCTTGCCAGATGAGCCAACACCTGCCAAGGGAGCAGAGAATTAGCCCCAAGACCTGAATGCAAAGTTGTAATAGCCAGAAGAAGGTTCCAGTATTTCAAAATACTCACGCTTAACCAGGGGCTGAAATCTGAAACTGAGTGAAATAAAGAACAACTCTAGCTTTATTTTATGACTAATATCAATGAACTGTATCATAATTTTGTACTGCTTTATAGTTCATGATTGTTTTCATTACTATTATCTTATTTAAGTCTCAGAATACTTCTCTGTGGGGGGTATTAACTGAATTATACGGCTAAAGAAACTAAGGCTGCAAAAGTTAAAGACAGATTTAATGCTATACAGAGAATTGGCAGCAGACCCCAGGACCAAGGCTATGTCTTGGCTCATATCTGAGTATAAAAAAAGCAAATACTTTCATCCAGGGTTGTTTTCTTCCTTTAAATAAGGAATAATTATTTTGTTTCTCTAAGTAGATATAAGAACAGAAAGAAAATTACAGAAAGTTAAACATTTAACTTTCAAGTGGTAAAAATTAAAGTGTCACCATATAAAATTTTGTTTTCAGATATACAGTCTATTATACCCATCTGTCATATATCTAAGGTGACTAAAATAGTTTGCAACAAAGGAATAAAAAGGAGTGAAGTTAACATTTTATAACCAAGTTCCGCTTGCACCCAAACAAAACAGTAATAAAAACACTCACACGTAAAATACAACTCCCACTTTTTAGACTATCTTCATACATACACTCCTCATGATCACTGTGCAAAAGAAGACTTACTTCCATTTCAGAGATGAGGAAACAAAACCTCCTACCTGTAAGGCCTCCAGTCGCATGGGGGATGGTTCATAGGTACTTCCTGCTGCAGAGCCAGCGTCGCTCCCTGAACAGGAATCCTCTTTGGGCAGTACAATAGTAGAAATGCAGAGCCGAATGAGCCAGCAAGGCTCTGAGGACCCCTGAGGGGAGCTAACTGATGCTTCTTCCAGAGAGGGTCCTGCAGGGGCTTTCTTCCACCAATCAGAAGGGCTGAGGTGAGGGGTGGCGGAACTGCTATGACTGAGTCCAGAAGAACAGGGCTGTTGTAGAAGCAGCTGGACTTCAGGCAGAGGTGCATGAGTGGACACTATGGCTCCTAAGAGTGTAAGACTTGACACACGAACATTAACATCTGACAAAAGAAACAGTAAGAACCTATCACCATGGAAACAGCTATTAAAAGGGTCGTATATCTCCCTACAGGCAACTAAGAATTATTAGGTCCCTATTTACCCTGAATCTAATTAAACCTCTAGGCCCAACTGCCAGTTTATAGAAAATATGGCAGGAAAATAAATTAAACAACACCCTAAAGAAGCAAACCGACAAATTGACATTATGAGAAATTCTTCTTCTTTTTTTTTTTTTTAAGAGATTTTTGCTATAGGGTGCATGCACTTGCCAGAGAGGCAGAGAGAGAAAGTGAGAAATCACCCCCCAGAGGGATGGCCACACTGCAATCCTTTCTCCATTCTCTATTCTCGGGATTTACGGCACACCTGCACACATGCCTGGCGTGAGTTTTAAGCCGCCAAGTCTGGGACTTGAACCGCAGTTGAATACATGGGAGTCCAGCAATGTAACCATTACGCCATCTGCTGGATTATGAGACATTCTATAAGACAACTGGCTTCAATTCTCCTAAAAATCAATATTGTAGGGGAAGAAAAAAAGGTGAGGGGAATACTCTAGATTTAAAAAAGACTAAAGTGATATAACAACTAAATAAAATAAGTAAATCTTCAATCAATCCAGGATTTAAAAAGAAAAAAAAAAAAAGAAAGAAAAAAGCTAGAAAAATCTGTAGCTAATAGGTTTGTTTTTGCTTGTTTTTGTTTTGCATATGGATATCCAGGTGTTCCAGCACCATTTGTTGAAAAAAGCATCTTTGCTCCCTTAACACAAAGCAATTGATTACATTAACGGGGGTGGAGGGGGTCTACTCTAGGTTTTCTATTCTGATCCACTAACCTCTGTACATTCTTTTACCAAATTATACTGTCTTGATTACTATAGTTTTATAATAGTTTTTTTTTTTAATTTTTAAAAAATTTGCTACAGGGTACAAGCACCCATCAGAGAGAGAAAGCACTCACTAAGAAGAATAGCCATGCTACAATTCCTTCTCCAATCTATCTTGGGATTTAGAGCATACACATACACGTGCCTGGTATATTTTTCAAGTTGCTGAGTCCAGGACTTGAACTGTGCAGTGGGCCACCGTGCCAACCAGCTGGCCCTGTAGTAGGTTTCAAAGCTGGTTAACGTCAGTCCTTCAACTTTGTTCTGTTAATACTGTATGGCAATTCTGGGTCTTCTGCCTCTCCATATAAGCTTTAGGATCTAAAGTTTGTTGATATCAAAATAACTTCCTGGAATTTTGATTGGGATTGCACTAAATCTATAGACAAAACTGTGAAGAACTGAAATACTGAAAATATTGAGTCTTCCTATCTTTGAACATGGAATGTTTCTCAATTTATTTAGTCCTTCTTTGACTTTTTACCAAATGGTTCGAGTCCCATACCTGGTGGCTTGCTTTCTGACTTTCTCTCTCTCTCTCTGTCTCTGTCTCTTTCTGGTGAGCACATGTACCCTATGGCAAATTTTAAAAAATAAGAAGAAGAAGAAGAAAAAAAAAAGGGAACCATCAGTTAGCATAATGGCTATGTTGCTGGACTCCCACATAGTCGACCGTGGTTCGCATCCCAGACCTGGTGGCTTAAAACTCACGCCGGGCACGTGTGCGTGCGTGCCCAAGATCCCGAGAGGAGAATGGAGGAGAAGGGATTGCGGTGTGACCATCCCCCCTGGGGGGTGACTTCTCGCTTTCTGTCTCTATGTCTCTCTCTGTCTGTCTGGCGAGCGCACGCGCCCGATAGCAAAAAACCTCTCTAAAAAAAATAATAAATAATAATAATAATAAGTAAAATTAAATAAATAATTCAAGAAAAAGGAAGCGAACTGTTTTAAATCACTACCAACCTTTGTGGCGGATATAAGGCTTTATCTGGGTCCAGACTTTGGTCAGCAGGCTGAGTTTCAGACGGTTATAAGGTGCATTCGATACTAAATTTGCAAGGCACTGCAAAACACACACAAAAAATGGCTCATCAATAGGCTAGACTAAGCATAGGACAGAAACAAAATTTTATAGTATTTAATTTAAAAAGAACAGTCTTTATAGTTATTTGAAAATTAGTCCTTTTGTAAATCTTCTTTTTAAAAAAATACTGTATTCTCATTGGCATAATTTAATACTAAAGACAAAAATGTATTTTAGTCATTTATTTGGGCCTACAGAGATTTTAAGATATGTATGTAAAGACTTCCAAATAGGACCTCTTTTTAAAAAAATTAGTTATAGTATTAAGGCAAGTTACATTTGGGCTATGTAATACATGCGAAGGTGACCCAGACAAACACCCTGGAACCACAGATAATCTGACACATTACCTTAATTATCTGAGTAAGGGTCTGTGAGGAGGATTCGGCCGCCAAGGCTAACAACAGACACCTGTGTAGCTCTCTAATGCTGGACGCAATCATCACCGAGAAGGGAGTAAAAGCCCTTCTGTGGTCACTGGTGTCTTCAGCCACAGAAAGAAACTGCTTTGAGCCGTCCAATATAGCAGATAAAACTTGCAGAGCACAGGCACGGGTCTGAAATTTCAAGATGATTCACATCGGTTAGTTAAAAGTCAGGAGTTGGATTCCTTTCTTCCTGTATACACTTAAATTCGTTAAACTTATTTATTTATTTAAATTTGACCAGAGAGGGACAGAGCAAGAGAGAGGGAAAGTGAGAAAGCAAGCCACAAGGTCCACGACTGGAACTGTGGTTGGCCATGTGGGAGTTCAGTGTCTTTAACTACCATGCCACCTGCTAGTCTCACTTTTTCACTTTTTGAACATCAGTTCATTTTTTTCCACAACTTGATTTCTTATTTTACTTAGTGGTGAAATGTTTGATTTTTAAAAAGAATTATTTATTTAATTTAATTGGTTACTATCATTTACTTTTTTTAATTTGACCAGAGAGCAAGAGAAATGGAAAGTGAAAAAACAAGCCACCAAATCTGGAAATTGAACAACAGTCAACCATGTGGGAGTTCAGCGCCCCAACCATTTCGCTATCTGCTGGCTCAGAAAGGTTTGATTTTTTTTTTTTAAAGAATTATTTATTTATTTAATTCTACTTGTCATTATTATTTTTTAATTTGACTAGAGACAGACAGAGAGAGAGAGAGAAAGGGAAAGGAAGAAAGCAAGCCACCAGGTCCACGACTCAAACCTATGTCTACAGTCAACTGTAGACATGTGAGAATTCAGCGTCTTTAACCATCACACTACCTGCCGGTCAAAATGTTTGACAACATGACTTTCACAGATGAAAACAAAAGAAACGTCACTGAAACTGGTTATTTTGGGGGACCAGCAGATGGTATAATAGTTACGTCACTGGACTCCCATGTAGTCGACCGCAGTTGGAGTCCCAGACCTTGCGGCTTAAAACACACTGGGCATGTGTGTATCCATACCCAAAAATCCTGAGAGAAGACTGGAAGAGAAGGGGTTGCGGTATGGCCATCCTCCTGGGAGATGATTTCTCACTTTCTGTTTCTGTCTCTCTGGTGAGCACATACGCCCTATAGCAAAAATCTCTTTCTAAAAAAAAAAAATTAAAAAATTGGTTGTTTTCCACTGGGGTATAAAAATTACATGTCTGGGACCAGCAGTTGGTGTAATGGCTATGTCACTGGACTCCCATGTAGTAGAACATGGTTCAAGTCCTGGGTCTGGTGGTTTAAGCTCATGCCAGGTGCATGTGCATACGTGCATGCCCAAGATCCTGAGAAGAAAACGGAGAAGGGATTGCACATGGTCATCCTCCCTGGGGGGTGAGTTCTCGCTTTCTGTCTCTCTTTCTCTCTCTGTCTTTCTGGCGAGTGCACGTACCCTATAGCAAAACCTCTCAAAACAAAAAGGAAAAATTATATGTCTTATAGTGATGAGTTAATTTCCTTTAGGTCCTGTTCAATATATCTTTGCTACTATACAATTGTTACTTAAGATACTGAATGTGGTTCAACTTTTGCTTCATTTATTCTTATGACAATATTTAATACCTTGTTTACCATTCCAATCAGCACTTTTAGCAAAATTGCTGATGTCCAGGCAAATCATAATAGGTGTACCTCTCCAGAACTCATTTTGTTGATTATATTTTTATTGTCGGAATATTTACAAGGATGGATGAAAAACTGTTTGATCTGGTAAGTATGTAGTTTGATCCCCTTGGACATGAAGGCTTGCCACTGGCTCCGGGATTCAATCGTTGGCCATATGGGATCCAGTTCCCTTAACACATGAGACCAGCCCTAATGCTCATTATTGTTAAGGAGAACCTAAATAGCAGGCAATTTCCCTTATTTGGTGATATGGCTTGAATGTGCCCCCAGAATACATGTGTTGAAATTTGGTCGAGACTGTAACAGAATTAAGAGGGTAGAAACTTAATCTGACTGTGGTATTAAGAGGTGGGGCCTTTGGAAAGTAATTAGATTAGATGAAGACATCTAGGCAGGATGACGGAATACTGGTGACTTTATAAGAGGGAGACAGACCAGAGCTGACACATGCTCTTGCCTCTTATCCTGCAGAGTTCCCGCCAGCAAGAATGCTCTCAGCAGATGTGGTTCCTTCACCTTAGATCTCTCCTCATGAGTTAAGTAATTCTTCATGAAGTATCTAGTCTGTGATATTCAGTTACTGAAACAGAAAATGGACTAAAACATTTGATTAAGAAGCTAACTTCTACGGGGGATCAACAGGTGGTGTGGTGATTAAGGTGCTAGACATTCCCACGTGGCTGACCACGGTATGAGTCCCAAACCTGGTTTGTTTTCTCACTTTCCCTCTCTCTTTCTGTGTGTCTCTCTGGTCAAATTAAAATAAATGAATGAATAAATAAAATTATAAATAACTCTATAAAACAAAAAAGCAGCTAACTTCCAGAGAGACGTTAACACAATCCAAGCATATGCAAATACTGATCAGCAGAGGGGTATCTGGAAACTATCCATGACAGTAGGACCGTTTTTCTGTTTTTTAAAATAAATTTTTCTCAGGGCCAGCAGATGGTGTAGCAGTTACGTCGCTGGACTCCCAAACGGCTGACTATGGTTCGAGTCCAGCTGACTATGGTTCGAGTCCCGTGGGACCCGGTGGCTTAAAACTCACTCTGGGTGCATGTGCGTGCGTGTGTGCCCAAGATCCCAGGAGGGGAATGGAAAAAGGACTGTGGCGTAGCCATCAGCCCTGGAGAGTGACTTCTACTTTCCTTCCCACTCTCACTCTCTCTGTCTCTGTCTTTCTCTCTGGTGAGCACACATGCCCTAAGGCATAAATCTCTTTTAAAATGTTTTTTTTTTCTCATTAAAATATGTAAATATTTACTATTTGTACTTTGGAAAGATTTGAAAACACAAATACAGGAGGATTGTTGGGATCTTCCTGTAAATACAATTCTATATTCTGTCCTTTCACAAAATGTTTTTCTAAACCTTATTCATTTTTCATAACCATATATATCATGAGATTCCTTATATATCCTTCATAATCATTATGTACCATGATATTCCACTGAGTTGTTTAAGCCAGTTCTGACTTTTTCCCTATTATAAATACCACGACAATCCAATTCTTTTTTTTTTTTTTTTTTTGCTATAGGGCATGTGCACTCACCAGAGAGACGAGAGACATGGAGAGAGAGAGGGAAGGTAAGAAATTATTCCCCGCAGTGGGGATGGGCGCGCTATAGTAGCTTCTCCTCCAGTCTCCTTGGGACTTTGGGCAGGCACACATGCACACCTGGTGTGATTTTCAAGCCACTGAGTCCAGGACTCAAACCACGTAGTCAGTATCTTCTGAACTTCCACACCACCTGCTGGTCCAACAATCCATACTTCTACACAAGGAAGATACACACAGCCACCTCAGGGCTGCTTAGAGGAATCACTGAAGTTATAGCCCTGTGTACTCAGGCTTCAAGCAAGCCCTGGGCAGGAAACAGCTATATGATTTTTCTCAGTATATTACTCACATCAGTCTGTTATCATAAAAACCCATTTCCTATCCTGCTTCCTGTCTAGTGGTTCTCAAGTCAGGACCTGAATCAGTATTAAGAGGTGAAATCAGATTAGATAGGATATGGCAGACAACAGTGAAGACTTGTACATTTTTTCTTCCTTTCATAAAGCTTAAAACTAAAATATTCTTACCTTTGGGGAAGGATCTTTCAATGTAAGAGTCATCAAGGACACAGACTGTGGGCTTCCAAGTTCAGGTGTATCAGGAACAAAGGCTGACCAGTAGCCATAAAGAACTTTTTTTTCTATTGATTTTATAGTAGAAAGAAAACAAGCTAATGCTCCTTGGCGAACTTTGGCTTGATAAGACCTTTCGTACCAAAGAGAAGGAAAAAAAAGTTTCTTAATCATTTTTTAACGCAAACATAAATGCTATCTAGTCCAGCCAATTTAGATGATACATTGAGAAATTAAACATTCTGAATAACCTCTAGAGATGTCAACATATTAAAATATTTTGTCTTTTCAAAATTATGATCAAACATGTTAAAGCAATTTGTTTACTTAAGAAGTTATTAAGGTTGACAATTAAAAAACACAATAAGGGAGACCAGCAGATGGTGTAATGGTTACGTTACTGGATTCCCACATAGTTCGTGGTTCAAGTCCCAGACCTAGCAACTTAAAACTCACTCAGGGTGTGTGTGTGTGTGTGCATGGCCAAAATCCCAGGAGGAGAATGGACAAGAAAAGATTGCGGCATGGCCATCCTCCCCCCAGGGATTGACTTCTTGCTTACGAGAAAGGATTGCGGCATGGCCATCCTCCCCCCGGGGATTGACTTCTTGCTCTCTGGTCTCTCTCTGGTGAGCACCTGCCCTATACTGAAAATCTATCCAAAACGCACATACACACACACACACACACACACACAGTGAGGGAGCCAGCAGATGGCATAGTGGTTATGTTGCAGGACTCCCACATGGCCGACTGTGGTTTCAGTCACAGACCTGATACCTTGAAACACGCCACGCACATGTGTATATGTGCCCAAGATCCTTGGAGAATAAAGGAGAAGGCACTATGGCATGGCCATCCTCCCTAGGAAGGGGGTGATTTCTCATTTTCCCTCTTAATCTGACTCACTCTGTCTCTGTCTCTCTCTCTCTCTCTCTCTCTGGCAAGCGTGCATGCCCTAAGGCAAAAGCCTCTACCAAAAACAAACAAACACCATGAGATGGAGAATAAGAGGGCAACATTTTGATGTTAGGAAACTAGTGTTAGATAGGAAACACTGTAGAGTATCCATCCACCCATCCATTCATTAAATATACCGAGTGATCTTATGTATGTACTAAGTATTATGCTGATGCTGGCAGACATAAGCAAAGCTCCTACCCTTGACAAGCTTATCAATGGCAGCAATAGATAGAGATAACTAGATATCTTAGCGATAGAGAGAAGGGGTGAGAAAAGGCTTTCCAAATATGATTTCTAAGCTCATATTAAAGATAAATAATGGTGCTCTCTTTGCCACGTCTACTGCAAGGATAAAAACCATTCTCAGCAATCAGACCATCGACATTACAGAGAATGTTGACATCACTCTGAAGGGATGCACAGTTATTGTGAAGGGCCCCAGAGGAACCCTGAGGAGGGACTTCAATCACATCAATGTAGAGCTCAGTCTCCTTGGAAAGAAAGAGAGGAGGCTGCAGGTTAAGAAGTGGTAGGGAAACAGAAAGATACTGCCTATAGTTTACACTCTCTGTAGTCACATACAGAACATGATCAAGGGTGTTACACTGGGATTCTGCTACAAGATGAGGTCTACATATGTTCATTTCCCCATCAATGTCATTATTCAGGAGAAGAGGTCTCTTGTTGAAATCCAAAATTTCTTGGGTGAAAAATACATCTGGAGAGTTTGAATGAGACCGGGTGTTGCTTGTTCAGTATCTCAAACCCAGAAAGATGAATTGATCCTTGAAGGCAATGATATTGAACTTGTTTCAAATTCAGCTGCTTTGATACAGCAAGCCACGACAGTTAAAAACAAGGATATAAGAAAAATCTTGGATGGTATCTATGTTTCTGAGAAGGGTACAGTTCAGTAGGCTGATGAGTAAGATCTAAGCGTTCTCCAGCTACAGTAACAAGTCAGATCATTTCTAAAGCCACTATATATTTTAAAGATAGTAGTAATAAGGGGCCCGGCAGGTCACATGGTGGTTAAGGGTGCTAGACTCCCACTCCCACATTTAATTTAACATGGTTCCCCCCTCCCCCCCCAAAAAAAAGAAGATAAATAGGGGTTAACCCAAAACATTAAAAAAAAAAAAAAAAACTCCAGGGAAAGAAACAGCATGTACAGTTACACCATGCATAACGTTTCAGTCAATGACCGACCACAGTGAGGCAGCGAGGCAACATGCTGAACCACACAGTCTAGGTGTAAAGAAGATGTGTCACTAGGTTCGTGTAAGTACACTCTATGATGTTTACACAACGAAGCAATTGTCTGGCAACACATTTCTCAGAACGTTCCTCTGCTGTTAAGCAACACGTGAGTGTGTGACTGCACAAAGGCAAATTAGACGGCAAGGCACGTGCAGAATAATGTGAAGACCTACGTAAATGACAACCTTCAGGTTAAATTATACGGGGCAGTCAGGTTTTTGTTTTGTTTTAAATTTGTTACAGGACACATGCACTCACAGAAGAGACAGAGAGGGCGGGATGGCCACACTGTAATCCCCTGTCCTCCACACTCTTCTAGGGATTTTGGGCACACACATGCATGTGCTCTGCGTGATTTTCAAGCTGCTAGGTCCAGGACTAGAACTGCGCAGATGGTATGGTGGTTGAGGCGGCTGGATCCCACCTAGCAACCACACAGTTGACCAGGTAGGATCCAGCTACCTGAATCACCATGCCATCAGAAGGCCCACATTCAAGTTTTAAGCAAAGTCATAAACTTACATGCAACTTAGAATGAGGTATAAAAAATACAACCAAATACTACTACCTCATTTTACTCTGCATGCCTCCTTCAGCATCAGAATAGTCTGACTCACTACTGCTGACCCTCTTCCAACTGGAAGAACTGAAGGCTGAGGAAACGCGATCTTTTCCTGTGGCTCCACTTCCATCTAAGGGCAAGCCCTGGACACCCACGGAGGAGGTGTGCCGAGTGCTCCCTTCGCGTAGGTTCCCTCTGCACGTGCTGATGACTGGGGCTGCTTCCATCTCACCACCGGATTCTTCTTCATCCTCTCCTTGCTGGGTTTTCTTTGGTTTTACTTTGGATTTTTTCTTTTTATTCTGATTTGAGGAGCAAATGAAAACATACATATATATGAAGAGGAAAAAGTCGTGTTTACTTAATACCTTAATATATTGGGCATGATGTTCAGTGTTTTTAACACCCTACTGGATTGTAAGAAACAGGCATGAAAGACATGGCACAGATTAAAACACGCGGCTTGCATTTTAATTGCACTTGGGGCCAATCATTTAGTCTCTCATCTGTTAGTAAAAGGGTAATGCACCTACTATGTACTCTGTTGGGAAAGCATACTGCCTTCTCAACAGAAATCTGCAAAAGAGAGCCTACAGAAAATGGCCTGAGTACCTAGTTTTTCAGTTTGCCCAAATAAGTTACACAGCTAGGACCACTCTAGATGGCTGCACAGGGGAAATGGTGACCCACTACATACGTGCATGTTCTAGACCCTTGGAGCGATGTAGAGCAGGTATTAGGTAAGTCAGTTTCTTTCTTCTCCCCTACCTCCTTCTTTCTGGCACCCAAGTATCTCTGTGCCCTATTCTTCATTCTCAAAGTCACTGGTCTTGAGGAAGAAGGTTCTCATTACTTCCACCTTAGCTAGTTAACATAACTCCAGACCCATACTCTTTTACTTGCTACTATAGTGGTTTTCCTAAGATGCAAACTGGATCATATGATTCCCATTTAAGAGTCTTCAGAGCTAAAAATCCAAACTCCTTAGCACGTTATACAAGATCTTTATGAGTTGACCTCTGCTACGTTTGCTCTCGCTTTTCCCTTCCAGGCACCTGAGAGCAGTACTGGGTAACAAGTAAGCTACATGCACCTCACTCCCCATTTATCCACCTTTTGTTCCTTTGGAATGAAATGCCCTTCTCTCCTCTGTACTACTAATCACTCTGAAGTCTCATTTTAGTTACCACATCTTGTAAAAAGCCTCCTCCTCCTCCATTTGGACTGAGTTGCCTGAATGTGTTCCCAGAATACTCAGTGAATATTCTGATAAAAGAAATTTAAAAACTGCATTGTAGTTATTTATTTACCCATCTTTGCCTTCTCCCCCAAACTCCTAAGAATAGTTACAGTCTATTTTCTGTTTTGTACTCACCAGAAAAAGAGGGAGAGAGACAGAGACAGAAATGGGGGAAGAAAACATTCCTCAGTGGGGTGTGGTAATACTGCAATCTCCCCCATTTCTCTATCCTGTTAAAATTTTGGGCACACATGCACATGTGTCCAGGCCTTTCAATCCACCAGGGCCAGGATTCGAATTGCAGTTGGCCATGTGGGATCCAGCTCCCTTAACTATTGGGGCTGGCATTGGAGCGTATATCCTTAATGTTCAGCACACTCTCTGGGATATAGCAGATATTTGATGAGTGCTGAGTAAGTGAATGAGTGAATTTCTAAATATAAGCATTTTTATCATGTATTACATTTGTTTTGGGTTTTTTTTTTTTTAGGAGAGGTTTTTGCTATAGGGCACGTGCGCTCGCCAGACAGACAAGAGAGAGACAGAGAGACAGAAAGCGAGAAATCACCCCCCCAGGGGGGATGGCCATGCCACAATCCCTTCTCCTCCATTCCCCTCTCGGGATCTTGGGCACACACGCACACGCGCCCAGCATGAGTTTTAAGCCACCGGGTCCGGGATGTGAACCGCGGTCAACTATGTGGGAGTCCAGCGACATAACCATTACGCTAACTGCTGGTCCCTCATGTGTTACATTTGTGAATGTAAAACCTCAGCTGTTCATCTATAGGCTCCAGGTTCTTCAACTAAAGCATGAGGAAGATGGCAGGTATCTGGAAAAGCTGAGAAATGTGGTAAAGGTAAGGACTGTAGAGACAGTGAACCGACTGCTAGGTAGGCTTCTAATGGCCTAGAGAGGGGTTGGCAAATTATGGCCCAAACACCAAATCCAGCCCAACTCACGCTCTTTTTCATAAATAGTCTTCCTGGAACACAGTCATTCTCACTCAGTTACATAATATCTATAGCTGTTTTTGTACTACAACAGAGCTGGTAGTTGACAGAGACCTAAAATATTTATTGGCTAGTCTTTTAGAGGAAAAGTTTCTTGACCCCTGGTCTTGAGCATTTTGGCTGGGGTGTAAAGTAAATGATCATCTTACAGCAGTTACACTAGGCGCTTTAGAAGAAGATGCTTTGGGGTCAGCAGGTGGTGTGATGGTTAAGGACACTGAACTTCCACATGGCTGACTGCGGCTCAAGTCCCGGACCTGATGGCTTCTTTTCTTACTTTCCTCCCCCCCCCATCCCTCTCTGGCCAAAATTAAAATAAATAAATAAATAAATAAATAAAAGTTAAATAAAATAATAATTTTTTAAAAAGAAGAAAAAATTTTAATTGGTATTTTCAAGCAGTCAGATGAATTTAAATTCACTATGCTAAAAGCCCTAAATTAAAATCAAATTCAAGGCAGGCTTTTGAGACAGTAGTGATGAAATCACAGAAAACACTCAGAGCAAGCTATTAAAATCAGCCCACAACTTAAAGCTGAACATACCACAGTTGGTCGAGAAGCACTGGATTCTGACTGCTGTGGTTTGACAGGTGGTCGCCCATCATACTGAGGAAGCGGAGTTGGGTATAACACCGAGGGCATCTCTATATTTAGTCCAGGGAGTCCATGGAACATGGATTTCTAACAATGATGAATAAGGAGATATACACACAGACACAAAACATAAATCATAAAATGTACTTTTTCACAATGTTCTGAATCAGAACACAAATTATTGTTTAAGGGTCTATTAGGGAAATAAAAATAGGACAGAAAAAGATACCTTGAAGATGTAGGAGTCAAAGAACTTAACCTCATTTGGTCTTTGGTTTCAGCTTACTCATTTTTTTAATTTAATTTTACTTATTTATTTTTTTTAAATATACTTTAGGGCATGCACGCTCACCAGAGAGATAGAGAGACAGAGTTAGACAAAGTAAGAGAGCAAACTATGTCTGGGACTTGAACTGTAGTTGGCCATGTGGGGATCTGGTGTCCTAACCACCATACCACCTGCTGGCCCCTTTATTTATTACATTTACTTATTCATAAAATTTATACATTTTAATCCAATTATTTTATATAATTTTCTAAAGCCCAATTATTATTTTTATTTAGCTTATCTATCTCACTATCTCTATTTGATTGAGGACTAGGAGAAATGGCAAAAAAAAACTTTAGTCATGATAAAGCTAGACTGCCACAGATGGTGTTCACAAAGCCGAAGACGCTGGGTCCCTAGAGAGGCCAAGCTGACTTTCCTCCACAGGCAGGCATAGAAGCTAACAATGGTGGCCTACTGATACATATCTCTACTGGCTTACCTACCACGTGGAGGAGAAGGCCAGGGAAGCCCTAGATCCTCTTTCAAGCACAGACAGATACAAGGCTCAAGATAATATATAACTAAATTATCTACAGATTATACCTCATGACCTATTTCCTTTCAAAGTTAAGATTCATAAATCATTTTAAAGTTTTGATGTATTTATTAAATTAAGGTTTACTGTTTTCTGTTTTTACTTTTGAGTATATTTGAACATGATCATTTCATTTGCTCTCTTAAAATACACTCAACTCCTACCACCTAACAGTTCATCATAGAATGATGATGCATAGGAGTCTTCATGTCTGGGGTTTAAATAGAAAAGATATTCATTAGAAGAAGGACTTGCTTTACCTTCAGCACGGCCAGAAGAGCTCCAAGTTCTTCAGTTTGTTTCAGCTTCATTTTCCCACCATTCAGAAGTGATTGTATACCTCTTAAGGCATTCTGTAACAACTAAGGGGGAAAAGGAGACTAAGTTAGAAGGCAAAATAAGATTTGGTTGTCCAAGGATCAACTTTTTTTTTTGGTAGAGAGATTTTTGCTATAAGGTACACTTGCCAGAGAGACAGAGAGACAGAAAGCAAGAAATCGCACCCCTCAAGGGGAGACATAACCAGTGACATAACCATTATGTGCTATCTGCTGGCCCCAGGATCAACTTTCTAACATAATTTAGAATAGAAAGAAAAAGTGTCTAGATGATGAAAAAAAACTTTAAAAATACCCTCATAAAAAGCAGAGATGAAGATTCAGAGAACAGACCTAAGCAACTACCATGAATTATTATGTCATTGGAAAAGTCATTTTTTCTATGTTTTTCTTAACAAAAATGTGTCATGACTTTTCTGATGACCCAATAATTCCTAGAAGAAAATCACGTAGTCTTACTGTACAACCTTATAAACCAGCATGTACAAACTGTAAGTAAGAAAAAAACAAAGATGTTCAGTGGGAAGAATGTGAGAAAGAGTGAAAAAGTGGCTGAAGAGATGAGAAGTGGAGAAGTTATGTAATACGACAACTTCAGCAATTGCTAAAATCAAAGGGATATATGTGCAAGCAGGTGACAAATGACAGAAGAGTAGTTTCTGGAGGTCAATTCAGGCTATGATTGATTTACTGACTCAATAATCTCATTTCCAAAGTTCTGCCCTTAAAAACCCCCCACGTGAAGAGGAACTATAGCCTACTTAAAATAGTGGAAAAATCGAGAAAAAAAGAAAACTTCCATCAGTTATGAGAATTATTATATTCTTAAAGTTAACCCTTTCCAAGATGTGAACCTTAACAAAAGCAATAGCAAGCAGTTTGCCAAGCACTTGAAATGTTCTATTTCATGCACTTCTCATAAGAATCCTACAATGTTGTCCTATTAGTCCCATTTCGGAGAGGATCACGGAGGTTCCAAGAAGTTAAGTAATTTGCCCAAGGCCCCTCATTATAAAAATGATATACAAAAATAGATCCTAAAACAATATCTAGGAGATAACAGGCCTTTAAAGAAAACAAAGTTGTAAAACAACATATAAAATACACCTCCATTTAGAAATTAGAAACAGGTCCTGCGGGTGCTGCGGCAGCTGGAGAGGTGGTCCAGGAAGCAGGCACCTTCTACCCTGCTCCTGGTCACACCGCTGGTGTCCACTCCACAGTGGGAAGTGCCTGTGCCACAGGACATCAATACAGGCCTGTAAGAAAACAGGATCTTCCTCCTAAGCCATGACACAGCAGCTATATGGGAATACCACCTTGGGAAACAGTCTTCAGGAGGGCCTAGGTGAGCTCATACAGTCTCAACAGATAACCCACAACTCGCCCTTCAAGTTCTACTTCAGTTTGATGAGGCTATAAATTCAGCATTGGCTCAGAGGGTCAGGAACAGAGTCAATTTCAGGGGCTCCCTAAATACGCACAGATTCTGCGATAACGTGTGGACTTCTATACTGAAGGATGCTGAATTCAGAGAGGGGACAGAACTGATTAAAGTGGATAAAGTGAAAATTGTAGCCGGTGATGGTAAAAACACAGGCTCCAATACTACAGAATAAATACGAAAAAAATGACTTTTTTATGCCATCTTCTGTTATTATTCATCATTTTTTGAAGAGAAGCTTAGAAAAGACTTTTCAAATTTATTCTAGCATTGCAGAAATGACAACACTGTGCTATCCTATCAGAGAATTCCAGTAGAAAGAAACTTAAAACTCTGTAGCCTCTTACCTTTATTATACAGCATAAGGAAACATAAATTTTTTTAATGATAAATCAAAAGTTGTTACCTACCTAAGAACATTCTGTAATAAACTCATTGTAAAAAGCAAAAAAAAAAAAAAAAGAAATTAGAAATATGTTATGGGATCAGTAGATGACAGAATGGTTAGGTCGTTGAACTCCCACATGGTCAACCACAATTCAAGTCCCAGACCAGGTGGCTTGAAACTCACATGGGCATGTGGCCAAAATCCCAAGAGGAGAATGAAGGAAAAGGGATTGCAGCATGGCCATTCCCCTGGCGGTAATTTCCTGCTTTCTGTCTCTCTGTCTCTCCAACGAGCACACATGCCCTACAGCAAAAATTCTCACTTAAAAATAAAATGAAATTAGAAATATGCTTATTTACATAGGAAAAAATCTGAAGGTACATAGAACAAATTTTGGCAGTGGACTCAGACAAATCTGCGCAGAGGACTATAAGGAACTTTCACTATCTTAGATCTATAATGCTTGGAATTTGATACTCTGATTCAAAACATGTCAACAAATTACCATATTAGCATCAGACTTTTTTTAAATAAATTAAATATTGCAGATAGTATTGAAATCTCTCTTCCTTTTCATCTTAAAGATAGTCACTGATCAGAAGTTGTATTGCTTTCATACTCAAGAGATAAAACAGTAAAGACAGTTTTCTTCAAAAACAAAGAATTACAAAACAAAACAAGCATATAAGAAATTTCTTATAGGGACCAGCAGTTGGCATAATGGCTGTGTCACTGGACTCCCATATAGTCGACCACAGTTCGAGTCCCTGACCCAGTGGCTTAAACTCAAGCTAGAAGCGTGTGCGTGTGTGCCCAAGATCCCGAGAGGAGAATAGAGAAGGGATTGTGGCATGGTCATCCCCCTGGGGGTGATTTCTCACTTTCTGTCTCTCTGTCTTTCTGGCGAGCGCATGCGCCTTATAGCAAAAACCTCTCCAAAAAAAAAAAAAGAAATTTCTTATCATATAAACCTAAAAGGTATGATTTCAGATTTTAGATTATAAGCAGTCCAATGATGCCTATATCTCTACACAAAGCTAATACAGAAACCAAACTAAACTCTTCAGTAACAGCCTCTACTACTCCTGCATCTAGACACATCTGTGTCATTCACACGATCAGTGGTAGTCTTCCTACCATGCAGAATGTGATATCATCCATATCTGATGATTTTGGAGATTGCAGAGTGGTCAAGAAAGCCTGGAAGCAGATATTTTGGTAGGGTTCCTCTAAGTACGGCTGGCCTGGTACACTAAAACACATACAGAGAAAACAATGTAAACTCAGTCTCCTTTCAAACGGTGCCTGCAAGAGAATCAAAAACAGCAGTAATACACACTGACAGAGTTGAATACACCCTTGAATGTAACTGTACTATGGAAAATTATGCCTTTTGGTTAACTAGTTACTGCTAGGGGACAGACACAAGGCTAGAATGAAGAAGAAGAACAAAGTTTACAGCGGAAGATGTGAAGAAAGAGGAGTACTTTCTAGTTCTACAAGAGAAATAATGCAGACAGATCCCATCCAGCTAGAATCACACAGTCGAACCTGTCTCTGTTATGTAGACAATACTGTGTTATGCAGAAACAAGTTCAAGTTTGTACTGCTCATTTCCCATTGCATATTGCATGAGTCTGGAGTAGGCAGCTTAGATTAGTTTCATCTTCTCTTTTTTAAAAAAATATTTCAGGAGTATCCGCTCTCCAGAGAGAGACAGAGAAGGAGGGAGAAGGAGAAAACACCTCTCAAGGGGCTGCAATAATACTGCAATCCCTTCTCCTTTATTTCTCCATTGTGTTGAGATTTGGGGCATGCATACACAGATACCCAATGTGTTTTTCAAGCCACTTGGACTGGAATTCAAATCACAGTTGGCCATGTGGGTTCTGCCTCCCCTAACTACTAGTCAGCAGGGCCAGCCCTGATTCTATCCTTTTAAAAGAGAAGAAATTGGCCTTGAATGATAAATCGTGGGCCAGCAGGTAGCATGGTAGTTAAGGCTCTGGACTCCCACATGGCTGACCACAGTTCAAGTCCCAAACCTAGCAGCTTGCTTTCTCACTTTCCCTCTCTCTGGCGAGCACACATGTCCTATAGCAAATTAAAAATAATAATAAAACTAAATTAAATAATTATTAAAAAAAAAAAAGATGACCCTACCAGAGCCCAAATTCTTATTAATATATCCTTCTAAAAGACTTAACATGATTAGAATTTATACCAAAAGAAAATACAACCTGGACATAGTATACATACAAGGGGCCTTCAAAAAGTTCATGAAAAAATGCATATTACTAATGAACCACTCATGGATTTAAAAAAAATTTTTTTGCACCAAAATAAACTCATACTTTAATTTCATTTTTTCATGAACTCTATGAAGTCCCCTCAGTATCTCTTTACCAAATTTTCAGGGTATAGTCCTAATTGACTTTTCCTTTGCTTTTTAAAGTTTATTTATTTATTCTATGAGAAAGGGAGAGAGAGAAGAGGGTCAGAAAGAGGAAAGAGGGAAGAAAAAAAGATACAGACAGGTACCTCCCCAACATCCTATCCTCAGCCTCCCCTGGTGCACACAGGGAGACCTCAGACCGCAAGCCTCCAACCTTCCCATCTGGCCTCAGCATTGAGAGTGTTGTGTTATCACTGTGTCACTGTGGTTGGCCCTTCTTCATTTATTTATAAGTTTTCTTTAGAAACAACATTAAAATAAAAACTTAACAATATAAAATGAGCTTATTAGCAGAGCACCCAGGGAAGAGAAAGTAGGTTATTTTTCTAGGTTGGCCTGGGCTTCAGACAGATTAAAAAGGGCCCAGAAAGGTCTTATCTTTTTACTGCTGGGAAACCTGATTGGCTCTACCTACCTGAGACATAAGTTGGCCAGACAGTGCACCGCAGCTCTCCTGACTTCAGGGTCAGACTGAGCCAAGTCACTCAACTTCATTAAGAGTCCGGTCTTGCCTAGCAAGTCTGGAAGGTACTAAAACAAAGTAACAGTCAGTGGTGGTTGAAAAAAAGCCTTCAGGAACATGTTATTTAGACAGACGTCATGTTTTTAACTAAGACAGTTAAGCACATATACAAAAAGCTGCTAGGTAAATCCTTCAGATGGGTATGCAAAAAGATATGCCAGAAAACAGCCAGAAGGGTCACCACTCTCAGCGTAAGTAGCTGCTAACCTCTTCAGCCTTGGCTGCGTAGCTGACAGTAATGACAATCATGATGATAGTCTATACTAAGTGCCAAGCACTTAACAAGTATTGTCACACACCGTCCTCACAGCAACTACCTGATGAATGAAGAATCAAGGCTCAGAGTGGATGAGAGGGTATTGCTTAAGATTACACAACTAATGAGTGGCAGGACAGAAACCTGAACGCAGCTGTGGTGACTCAAGCTTGTGCTTCTAGACTTTGGAAGGAAAGAAAGAACACAGGTTAAGCTACCTTTTGACATTTTGAGCCATTACAGTAAACCAGAGCTGCCAGGGCTTGAAGAATTTCCATATGCGTCCAGGAACTGCACTGCTGAATAGCCGAAATAGTATATGCCAACAGGAAATCCAGGTGCTGTTCATCAACAATCACCTACCAATGGAGGAAAAAAAAATATGGCCTAACTTTAAAAAATTTTGTTTTAACCTATTATAGATATGTTTACTCACCTGAACCAAGCTTTGTAAGAGAGTACATGTCCATCTTTTTCATGTCAAAAGGAATAGCCTTAAAGGCCATAAAATTTGATCAAGATAGAGGCTTTCTCCCTGCCCCAGGACCTCACCCACTTTGTCCTTTTTTAGTCCCTGCATTCAAAGAAGAACCTGACAAAGTCCTTGTAAATGTTCCTTGAACTAACCTGACACTGGCAATTGAAAATATAGACAGGTAAGACTCAATCTACGAAATTTCTTAATTCAATTAAATAGTCTTAGAGATAGTAAACACTCAACAAATACAAAGTGAAGAAATACATCTGCTAAATAGCTGCTATGTCTCTAATATGATGTGGGGGAATACAACACAAGGAGCAGGAGGTATATCCTTGCCTAGAGGGCAATCAGAGCACTGATTTTACGTGGGTGGTTACCTTTTTCACATGAGACCCAAGAGTAGACCTTAATTTAAGACCATGGTTCTTAACCCGCAGCAATCTTAGCCCCAGGACACACTTGGCAATGTCTGTAGACATGTCTGACTGTCATAGGTAGATGAGTGCTAATGGCATATAAGGGGCAGAGGCCCACTAGATGCTGCTAAACAACCATCAATGCACAGGAGAGTTGTGCACCCCGCACCTCCCACCAACAAACAGTTACATGATCCAAAATACATGTCCAAAGCGCCAAGGGTGAGAAACACTGATGGACGCTTGCTCTGGCTGCACACTGTAATCATGTAGGGAGCTCAAGTCCTCAAAGTGATGTGAATGTGCAGTCAAGGTTGAAACCACTGGTTTAAGCCACTCACAACGTACCATTCTCCTACTCAGAGAAGGATTTGGAGAGGTGTTTGTACAACCTAAATCTCTCCAGCAAGGAGTATATTAGAGCGTATGTAACATAAGTTTTCTCATTCTTGAATAAGAGAAACAAAATAAAGGGTTCTTTTTCTTCTACTGGATGTTATTAATTTCGTTTGCATGAAATGCCTAGAGTTGAAGAAGCTGTCATATGACTATGAAAGATGCTAGCTGAGGATAACCCATACACTAAAGAGGGCAGAAAGGAAAGATGCTGTAAGTGCCTTTAGAGCTAGCTTCCTTGAGGCTTGAGACATGAGATGGTTCTTTCATTTATTTTGTTGTTGTTGTTGCTATTGTTTAGCTACTATGGGTTGGCTTTTCTGTTTCTTGCAGGAAAAAAACACCCATGTTCATACAGTACTAATTGGCATGCTCTGTGCTCTTAACTACATTTACATACTCATGTGGTACCACATGTGATAACAGTCTTAATTTCTGTACTGTTCCTAAAAAGATATTCAATTTATTTAGCAAGTTGGAAAGCGTTCTAGAGAGAGAGCGCTACAGTATAGGCACTGATATAAATAAGTGGGGTCTTTGTATCGTGGTGTCTTCTTGCCCCAAGCTATTTTTTATGTTTTATGTGGATCAAAAGTAGATCACAAAAGTGGTATTGTAGCTTAAGAAAAGGAAAGGGGTCAGCAGATGGCATAGTGGTTAAGAAATTGGACTCCCATATGGCTGACCATGGTTTGAGTCCCAGACTCAGCAGCTTGAAAATCATGCTGGGTACATGGGCATGAGTGCCCAAAATCCCAAGGGGAGAATGGAGGAGAAGGAACTGCAGTGTGGTCATTCCCTCAAGGGGTGATTTCTCACTTTCCTTCTCACTGTCTCTCTCCAGCAAGTGCACACCCTCTATGGCAAAAACCTGGAAAAAGAGAAAGAAAAGAGGGGAAATTGGTAGGAAGAAGATACGGGATCATTTCAATTTACTCTTAGATATATCTTGGCCAAATAAATCTTGCATGAAAAATTCTAAGACTGGGGCTAAATGGTATTGGTTTAATGAACTAAACAAAAAGAAATATCTCTACTGGAAAAATTTCTATAATTCTATAGGATTGTTTTGTTTTCTTTTTAATCACAGTTATATTTGTTTTAATACCATTCTGATTAAGGTATTTGCTTTTCCTATAACTTCTCAAAAAAACCAGCCTATCGTACAGACCACAAACATAATATTTCAAAAGTATTCACTTATTCTCAAAATTCACGATCTGAATTCTAAAGTGACATACATGATTACCTGCAATCTGTTGAGTAAATGGTGGATGAGCTGAGACACTTTGCTGACAAGATGATTCTGATTAAGAGGCACCAGTCGACAAGCTTGGACAAGAAGAGCACTGACATCCTACCCGGAAGGAGAAAAAAAAGACAAAAAAGAGGTAATACACTTAGTCAAAAGAACAGCCCCAAACATATCCAAATGAGAAAAAAAAAAAAAGTGACTATTCACTTAAGAATAGAGAAAGATAATATTTGAAGCAGAAAGTGGTGGGGGGAGGGGATGAAATGATAGCACAAAAACAGGATGTACTTTAAAGAAAGAAAATTATCACTACAGTTTTTGTCAGGCTAAAGACTCTAGACTCCACTGATGCACAGACAGTACAATTACATAACCAAAGAAAGTCTTCCAGCATATAAAAGCTGACTCTGAAATTAAGGTATCAAAAAGTGAACCAGATTTTTTTTTTTTAAGAGTTTTTTGTTGTTGTTGTTATAGGGCATGTGCACTCACCAGAAAGACAGACACAGAAAGTAAGAAATCACCCACAGGGGGGGGTAAGAAATCACCCCCAGGGGGGTGGCCATGCCACAATCCCTTTTCCTCCATTCTCCACTCCGGATTTTGGGCACACATGCACATGCATGGCATAAGTTTTAAGCCGCCAGGTCTGAGACTCAAATGACGGTCAATTAAGTGGGAGTCCAGTGATGTAAACATTATGCCATCTGCTGGTCCCAAGTGAACCCGATTTTCAATGCCGACGGGAAAATCAGAAATGACACTTCTAATAATTTTCTATAAATTTAGGGAATTCTTAAAACAACAAAAAAAAGAGGACCCTATTCATTCATCTATTGATATTTACTGAATAAAAAGGGTCTTAAATAGGACCAGCAGGTGACGTTAATGGTTACGTTGCTGGATTCCCACATAGCCGAGCATGGTTCAAGTCCCAGACCTTGTGGCTTTGAAATCACTCTGGGTGCATGTGCGTGTGTACCCAAGATCTTGGGAGGAGAACAGAGAAAGTACTGTGGCATGGCCAGCCCCTCTGGGGAATGATTTCTTGCTCTCTCTCTGTTTTTCTCTCTCTTTCTCTCTCTGCTTCTCTGTCAAGTGCATGCAACCTATTGCAAAAATCTCACTAAAAATAAAAAAGGGTTCTAGTACCTCCTTGTGTGCCAGGCCCTTGGGTTCCAATGGTGAAACCAGTAAGTTCCTGAGCCTCAAAGAGCGCACAATCTAGGGACCAGCAGTTGGCGTAATGGCTATGTCACTGGACTCCCATGTAGTCAACCGCGGTTCGCGTCCCAGACCCAGTGGCTTAAACTCACGCAGGGCACGTGTGTGTGTGAGTGCCCAAGATCCTGGGAGAAGAAAGGAGGAAAAGGGATTGCTGCGTGGCCATCCCCCCTGGGGGGTGATTTCTAGCTTTCTGTCTCTCTGTCTCTGTCTTTCTAGCAAGCGCACGTGCCCTCTAGCAAAAAACCTCTCCAAAAGAAAAAGAGCTCACAATCTACTGAGGGAGATAGAAGTACACAAGAATAACTATAATGAAATGAGTTGAGTGCTGAAAGAATTAAGTACAAACTCTGTAGGTTTGTGGAGGTGATTTTAAGCAGAATCCGGAATGATCTGAAGGATAAGGAGAAATTTGCTAGATAGACAAGGCATCAAAAAAACACCACACACAAAGGGAATAAAGAGTACCAAGGCTTGGAAATGTGAAATACCAGTAGGTGCTTGAAGAATAGCAACTTTGAGATGGTTTCACACAGGGCATAACAGGAGAAAGGAACAGAAGAGGAAAACAGAAAGGTGGAAAATTTTTGTTGCAAAAATATCAAATTACATAAAGTAAAAAACCTCCTCTGACTGTGCTACTATAATCTCGCTTTGCTCCCTAGGACACACACTATTCTTTTGTTGTAAACTCTTCCAGATACACACTTTTTAAAAAAATAATTACGTGTTTATATTTTTCATTCACTATATTTTAATTTGACGAGAGAAAGCAATCCACCAGGTCCAGGACTCAAACCATGGTCGGCTATGTAAGAGTGTCCAGCACCTTAACCACCACGCCACCTGATGGTACCCCACACTATTATTTTGTCATGAAGCCTTTCAGACCTTTTGTTTTGGATATATAAACATACATACATTTTTATATCCCCCTTCCAGGTCCATACTGGTCTCATCCTGTGTGAATTGTTCTACAACTTGCTTCAACCACTTACTGATGTGTACTGAAGCTCTTCTCAAATCAGACTGCTACTTTCATAATCAGATTTTTTATATTAAAGATCATTGTGGCAGTAGAGCCAAAGATGGTCTGAAGGGTTGGACTCTTGGCAGATCAGTTAGAAGAGACCAATGGGAAAGTTCAGGCAAGAGTCACCCCGCCTGAGGGCCACAGTACTGGCAGGAACACAGTGGAGGAGATGACTGAGAAACAGGCATTGTACAGATTCTCAAGAATGTGAATTGGCTAGGATCGGGAATGAAGGAAAAGGAAAGAACGAGTGTGCGCTGTGTGTTTTGGTGGACTGTGCATGCGTGTGTTGTGAAGTAGAGCGGGATCAATGTTTGGAGATAATGTATTCACCTGGAACCGTCTAGTTCTACATGTCTGTGAACACCAGAAGGCAGTGTTTTAACTGAGTCAAGAGTTCAGTAAATTCAGTCATTCAAAGTCTGATGTCTGTGAATTACTCAGAGAAGAAAAGAACTTCTAAAGAGGAAGCAGAGGGAACTAGCACAGAAAACTCGAAAATGTAGAAACTTTATGGCAGACGTTAAGTTCCAATTCTAGCTCTGCCATTCGCCAGCAATACGGCACTGAATCTTTATGAGCTTCAGTATTTTCATCTGGGGAAAAAAAAAAAAAAAACGACCCAATAATACCCACGTCCTAAGATTCCCGGGGCGGTTCCCGTTAAAGTAGTGTGTAATCTATGTTCTGTGTCTTCAATAAACGGTAGCAGTGAAATTTATCTACAAAGAATGCCTGGAGAGGAAGTGGAGAAGGTGGGGTCGGGAAGGCGCGACCGTAGATAGCATCTGAGGTGTTCCAGGGCAGTAGTGAGAACTGGAAAGGTCGACGCGAGCTCGCCAGCACTGCGGGGTCTTCCCGGTGGAGGGCGGAGAGCGCGCCGCGGTCGAGGGAGCAGGGCGGCCGGGAACTAACCACCCGCGGCAGGGGTGTGCACGGCGCGGAGAGGCGGCGGGGGCCAGCCCTGCTCCCTGAGGTGAGGTCACGGCCCGGGGCGCCGCCTACCTCTGCGGCCACGCCGCTGCCGTCGCTGTAGTTCTCGGAAATGAGCTGGTCGAAGAGCAGGTGGATCTCGGTGCGGGCAGAGCTGCTATCCTCAGGGCGCAGGGCACAGAGCCTCGCCGACAAGCGTCGGAACCCATCGTCCTGCTCGGGGTTCGGCTCCCGCGGCACCGCGCCCGGCGCCACGCAAGGCAGCAAGCCGGCCACCGGCACTACCGCCATTTTTGTACGTGATCCGACAGGGAAGAACTTCCGGGGCATCCCTGGGCCTCGCGCTCTAGTTCCGGAACTGCCTTACGTGGATCAAAATGAAAAGCAGAGGAGTTTCCCTGAGCATGGGACCTCTCAGACTGGTACTCTGCAAATGCTGTCAAAAGTAGCTTCGAGCCTTCCCCATCCATCTTTCCTTGAGCCCTGACTCGAGGGGGGGGGGGGTGGTCTCTGTTTGTCCTCCCAGAGTTTGGTCCTGGACAGGTCTGACGTTGCTCTGTAACAGTACTGTTACAGAAATGCAAAAACAGACCGCTGAGGAACCAGGCGCCACTCAGAGAGTAGGAGAACTCAAGTTTATTACCCCAGCAGACCCAGAAGAGTTCAGACACCAAACATCTGGGCCACAAGTAGGGGAGAGGTCGGAAGTTATATAGGTACTGGATTGAAGGTGGATAGGTACATGGGTGTGGGGTGTTGCAAGGGAGAAAACGCTGCAAAAGGTTGCTAGACAGCTTGTTTTCTTGGTTTTTGGAACCTTCTCTAGTTCAAAAAAACCACATCCTACAGAGTCCAGCAATCTCTCTTGCAAGCAGTTTACAGAAGCAGAACAGCATTCAGCTAGGAGGGGCACAGCTAGAATCCTGTTTTGCAAGCAAGTTTCGAACAGTAAAGTAGTGTCTATTTATAACAAAGCAAGTTCCATATCAGTACTACAATCCTCCCCCCTTTTATTGACAGTATAACCAGAGCTAGAGAAAGGATTTACTGGATTCAATCAAATTCATTTAAATAATAATTTAATCATAAAAGGAAACAGACTGCTTGGATATTTTAGCAGAAATTGATAGAGGCAAGGAACTCCTGGCATACATTCTGTTTGGATATAAGAAAACATAGCATAGGAACAAAATTGGACATCCAGGTATGACCAGGGGTAGAGATTTCGGATTCTACAGAAAGACAAGCAAATGTTCTGATTGTTCTTTTGAGGTAAGAATTCTAAAGAGGAAGACATTAGAAAACCAAAGCAATTGAATTGGTTAACCAACATCATGCAAAAGGAATAAATATTAGGCAACATTTTGAGTTCAGCTGCCAAACTGAGAATGGTTATTCTAGAAACTTATAAGTTGCACAAAATGGCCCTTCTTAATGGATGAAAGGCAGCCGGGTGCCCTAGGAAGGCAAAGGTAAGAACACTGCTCTATATTGGGCTCCCTGTACCAGCACCAATCACTAGCCATTAACAACATAGATGGGATGAATGTAAGGGCTATCCTTAGTATAATAAAACAAAGAGTTATAAATAATGCAAGAAGAATATAATCACAAGGAAAAGAAAATCAGTAGCACGAATAGAAAGGAAACATGAAGGATCAACAATTTTAACTTT